GGTTTGCAACAGTGAATGCCAGCTAAAACGCAGCGCAGAAGTCAGCGCTGCTCCTAAGCCACTGAAGAGGCTGCGCTTTGATATAGAAGGGCAAGACGAAGCAGATGGAAGGTAAGAGATTGTTTGCAGCTTTTCAGTAAACTTACATATATTTGGTTCTCAGAGCCTTCCATCCTAACTTCTTCCTGGCATCCTAACTTCTGTTAATTTGTGAATTTTAGTAAATGTATTAAATGAGAGGTGGTGGCATAACACTTCTCAGTTAGATGCTCTGATGTCAGAAACATGGATTCATTTGGTGCCTACACATCCAGCAGTGCCTATCCTATACAGCAGTGTTACTGCTGAGTGCTACACCACGCTGTCGTCTGTAGTCAGTCTTTTAAAAAACAAAACCCCAATTTTTTAGACATATGAGAAATCAAGCAACTCTTGAGTTTAGTGTGGAGGAAAAAAAGAGTTTGCATCTTTGTAAGAGAAGGCAATAGCACTGAAATAAAGTAACTTTGATGTAAAGTTAGGTTATGAGGATAAAACATTACTTTTTTTTTTTAATTCTGCTTAATCATATGCTTTCTGTCTGCAGCAAACACCTACCCCAGGAGTCCAAGTTCCAACAAAAGCTTGCAGAAATGAGTGAGTATTATTTTTCCATTAACTGCACAGCAGCGAGTGCCTTGAATAAAACAATTTCTGATCACTCAGATAAAAACATTGCTCAACACTGATGTAATTTCAGTAACTTGCTTAGTTTTTTGTACGTGCTCCATTTAATCTTGAAAATGCAGATTATAAAATGGAAATCCTCAAAAGCCTTTTTGAGGATATTAAATGACACAACAGCATGGAAGATGCTATATTATGTGTGAGTAAGAAAATGAGCACGACACATTCTTCCTAAACACTAAAATTCTTGAAATGGAATTAAATGTTTGCCAAGGCTTTCTCATTTGTTCCAGTGACAGACCCTTAGCTGAGAGCTTGCAGGTAGAAATCAGCAGTAACTGCAGCAGCATTTAGTTGACCAGAACTGCTTTTTAGGCAACTACAGTGTAATAAAGGAAAATCATACACTCAGGAAGGTTGTGTGTAATTTTGTATGTTGCTTTGCTGTCTTTCGTACTAAAATGCCTGAGACTGCTCTTCCTTCTACTGCGGATCAGCATTTCTTTCAGATTTTATGGGATAGCTTTTCTGTTTTTGAAATGAAACTCAGATCTAGCCTGTGAAAAGCAAAACGGCCCCATCCCCACATCTGAGTTGTATTTTCCACTCCTGAGAAGGAACACGCTTGGTCTGAGCGGGCGTTCTTACTCTCTGGTGGAAGCTGAGCTCTGTAGCTGAGCAGATTTGCCTGTGAAAAATTCTTACCTAGCAAGCCTTTGCTCATCAAGATAGATATGAGTACGGATCTAGGCACCTCTCGTTTATTTTAGGGCCGGGGACGTTCCAGTGGGATATGGAATAGTGTAATTTAATTCCTTGTGTCATAACCAATTTGTACAATAAATAATAATGTCCGAAGTAATTCCAAAGAAAGTTTTTAATTTTTTTTTTTCCTTTTTTTTAGCATCTACTCGAACAAGAATGCAAAAGCAGAAACTGAATGATGGAAATGATACCTCAGCCAGTGAAGAAAAGTGAGATTCTTCTCAGGACCAGGGGCTGCACTGCAGGCCCTCTTAGCTTGTTTTTGTTTTACAGCATACATTGAGTTGCTTTTTTAGTTGCTTTTTATTCCGAACTGCTAGTTGAAAGCATTTGGACTTTTGAAATTTTTAAATGTTATTCATGATACTTCGCCTTATGATGTAGCATATATACAATGTAAGCCACTGAACTTAATTTATATATTTTTTTGAGGATTTTAAAAATGGACTTGGAAGGCGTCTTTGTGTCCTATTGCGACATTACTGATTTAAGCCAATTCAGTCTACTTGAATTTTTCTGTCTAAAGACAAAACATTAGCTAGAATGATTTGAAATGCACTAATTTTGTTTCTTAGGTTTCCTTTTTAGATTTTCATTACTCACCAATTTTAAAAATGAGGGGCCAGATGCTGCAAAGATTTCTGTCTCTGTATAGAATTAGCGTGTCCAATTCCCATTGACGTAAACTGCACAGCAGTCCCAGCCCTTGCAGAGTTGGGGCCTCGCGTTAAGTGCAACCGGAATTCAAAGCGAACTCATTATGCAGCCGTACTACTGAAACCAGTACTTAGCCTTCTGTCGTTTTGCTTCCCCAGCGTAATGTCAGAGGGCAGCTACGCTGTCCGTCCAGTTTGAATTTCATGGAATATGAATCCCACAGAAATTCCTCCCAGAATCTCACAGAGAATCTTCCCAGAAGCTGAAGCTTCTTCCCATAGGCAGAGTACTTGGTGTGCACTTTCTCATCTTGTAAATTATTAAAAAAGAAAAAAGAACCCCAAACCCAAATCCCACCTGGTACAGGTAAGACTTCAAAATTCTAATGATGTAGAATTTTCTTGATTTCTTCAAGTTGTTGCCTAACTGTAGCTGAGCCAAATACCCTGAGGAACAGAGGCACCAAACCTGTTGCCTGTGGCCAAAGCTGAATGTCTCCAGTTGGGTTCTGGGTGAGAGCAGCCTGGCCTCTGGCAGCCCAGGGCATCTCCCCTGGGCCTTACTCCAGCATCTGCCCAAAAAACAAACTTGAGGAGCCCGCGTTGGGAAAAATCGAATCTGCCTTATTTTACTGAAAAGGCAGAGTTTAATGGGCAACTTGTGAACTGTTAGAGCTAGCAAAAAAAACCCCAACAAACAAAAAAACAAACCCCAGCCTTCTTTCAGCTTACATGGTTGTAAGTTACTGATTCAGATACTGGAATTTTCTTGTAATGATAAAGGGTTTGCAAAATAGCCAGTTAAGGAAAGCCCAGGTTTTACCTCCAGGGGATTGAAATACAAAATAAATTATGTCCTGCTTTAAAATTACCCATTTTTATGAAATTTAGCTTTCGCAGCTACTTGAATTAAACCAGTTGCAGTAGAAAAGCATGCTCTCCATTACCCAAACATTTTAAACAACATCTTCTCCGGGTAGCTTATTTAGAAATTGTTTAGCCGAACCTAGAATGCTTACACTAGTACATTTTAAAGATCAGTTCTTGTGTTGAACAGAAACTAATCCTAGAGCTACTAAAAATTCTACAAACAGCACACTGATTTGTCAATGAATTTTAAAATAAAATTGAGTTATTTTTTTAGTCTCCATATGGCTTCCTGAAAAATGTACAGAAGTGTTAGAGTACCTTATGTTTATTTTCTCACTATCTGCAGTTGTACAAACAGAACATGTGTTAGCATCGAGGTACACTGACTGTAAGCTCTGTTACAGCCGAAGTTCTTCTGCGAGACTTTGGCTAGAGGGGTAACACTGTGGAGTCCGGTACCTAAGCAGATTTATTATTTCTTTACTGTGACAATGTAATGTTTTTTTGTTCAAACAGACTGAAGGCTTTACATCAAATGTATGATAATATTTTATACAACTAATCAGTTTCTCTCCTTTCAAGATGAATAAAATAGCTTTTAAAAGACTTCTAGTTGGGAATTTTGTTTTATTAGATGAGATGGCGATGTCATGTGGTAACGCCATCCTGCTGTATCCCACTTCCACTGTGGTTCTGCAGCTGGCACAAGCGGAGGTCACTCCATCTCCAGTGATTCCCTTACTCGTGCAGAGGTCCAGAGTCGGGCCCTTGGGCTTGGAGCTACCTGCCGAAGTTCCCACAGGATCTTCTGGAAATGTTCCAGACAGACCTTTTGTTCCAGGGTCACCGTCATGGTCTGGGTCACCGTCACGGCCCTTGTGGAGGTGCTTGAGGCAGTCCTTCAGAGAAGCTGCTGTCCCCGCTTAGAAGCGTCCCCGTCATTTCACCACCCTGCTTTTCCTCATCAATTCTTTTGCTTCTGGAGCTGCTGAAAACAGCCCAGGATGTCCAAACTCCAGTGTAAGCCACCGTGGCTTTCTGGGCTGGGTAATCTGGCTGTAGACATGTCAGCCTTGCAGGATCCCTGGTGTTGCTTTACAAGAGTCCATAGGTGCCTTGTGACTCATAACTGCTGAATTTGCAGTGCTATTTATGGCATTAGCATTCGTGACAATGCTTAGAGCGCAAAGGGCACTGGCTGACTTGGCAGTCCCTTCCCCCACCACAGAAAACACTTTTTCAGAGTCTTACTTCTAAGCAGATACATACACAAGGAAACGCATACTGAAACTAACGGCTTTTTACCAGACTTGGAAATCTTGCTGTGTTTGAGAGTGCGTTTGTTACAGCAAGACCTTGTCATATTCAAAGTGGGCTAGAATACTGAAACTGTGCCAGGAAAAAAAGAAAATCAGAAGAGTTGGACAGAAAATGGGACAGAAATTCCAGGTGCCTAGCAGTAAGGATTGCACCCACTGATCAGACTCTTCTCACCACAGTGGAGAAATGCACAGCTGAGGAGAAAACTTGTCTCTGCCCAAGCCTATACGTGTAAAATGAGGTCATGTGAAATGCGTCTCGGAGAGGCCTGTTTCTCTCCGTTGACGCTACGGGGAATTCAATCTGTATTGCCTCGGCCGTTGCGAGACGGATGAGCAGACTCCCAGCCTCCTTATTTGCGGTTTTATACCTCTTGTTGCTGTCCCATCTTTCCAAACGCTGTTTTGTTCTCGCGTGTCACAGAACGTGGAATCTGTGTGTTTCCAGGCACAGGAAGAGGCTGCAGGAGGGTACCTGTGCGAATGTGAAACAGCTGGAGAAGATTATGGCTGCGTGATACTGGTGCACGGAACAAGCTGAAATATTTTAAGATGTACCAAATCATCGGTACGTTTGCTTCAGAAGCAATTCTTGGTGTTTTGAGGAGAGTTTTATTGAGCATTAAGTCACTAAGGCATTGATGTCTTTGAGAGGTGGAAATACACTTAAGCAAATTCTCCAACTCTTTTTTTTTTTTTTTTTTTTTTTTTGCAGACTCAGTTTCCATTCAGCTTACAAATACTTTATCTGATGGCGATTATTTCCTGAAGAACACAAATAGTCTTTAAAATACCTCTCTGAAATATTAGCTCTGTTTTATTTCTTTTTTCCCCACACCACTAACTAGAGTCAACTCAGCTTACCTAAGTGCCAGGCCTCCTTCACTTTTCCTGAAAAGAAATGAAAAAATCCCACTCGTACTTTTTAAATATTACAGCATTTTTATTAATGGTCTCTTAAACCCAGGCAAGTTTATAAAGAAAAAAGAAATCAAAACATAATTTTATGTTCAGGCTGTAAACTTTCTACATCTACCTGGGGGTAGCCAGGGAGTCCTGTCTCTCTGGGGTAATTAAATGCTTTGCTTTACCAGGAAAGCCCAGGGGAATTGTTCAGGTGATATAAAAACAGCAGTGTACACAGTTATCAGGCATTGTAATAAAACTCTAGAGGTGGGTATGAGACGACAATGCGATGCTGGCTCTTCCCTTCAGTAGCTTAAGAGAAACTTTGGATGATCAGAAAGTTACCCACCAGGTTCCCTTGCCACAGAGTGGAACACCCCTCTCTATTTAAACCCCAGGTATGGTTTATGCTTGGCCCTATTTTCACTTTTTAGCAAATACCTTTTTATCTGCAGTCTTAAACCAGAACAATACTTACATACTTAAACACTTAATAAAGTATTTAACCCGCAAGATCCACAAACATTGTTGCAGACCATCTCACAATGGCAAAACACATCCCTAATTTCTTCTAAAATGTCCCATGATTGGGTTTCGAGCACGTATTTATAGACATGCATCAACATTTAACCACCTAAGCCAGTATGGTTTTTTTTAAACATTGACCTTTTAAGTGCCAAAGAAAGTGCATGCAAATGAAAGGTTAAAAAAAAATAAATAAATAAACACATCTCTGAATGTAACGCCATTGATCACATCCAGGTCAGATGACTGAATGGATAAAAGCCAACGGTGACACATTGGATCTTTAGAATCCGCCCTCATTCAGTCCAGAGATGCTTTTTTTTTCTCAAAACTACAGGCTTTTTCAGTTACTCCAAATTGCAACTCAGCTTCAGTGTGTACAGGAGGTTGGAAGTGATGAGCAGGAAGGAAATAAATTGAAAAAAAAATAAAATGGCACTATTGGTTACATTAAGCCAAAAATGCCTCGCGAAGAAAGCGTGTCATTTTGACTACAGTCATCGCTGAACTACTGCGTTTCAACTTGAGCCAGCTTCAGAGAGTGGTGTCAGGCTCCAGTGCTATCACTCCGTGGAGTGGCGTCCCCGGGGAACCAGGCTCTTCATCGAGCAGAGAATGGGTTTGGTCAGATGTTGAGTTAAAAACCATCGTTTCACATTTACAGTTTTGGTTTGGTTCTTTTAAGTAAAACAACAGAAACATTTGGAGAGACCTTCTGTAGTACGCTCCTTGGGAAGGCCGGAGCAGCCGAGAGGCTGGGCCGGGTTACAAGTGGGACGGGTGCCCAGCTGGTTCTGTTTCGGAGGGAGGCTGGCTGGTGCCAGCACGGTGCCGCCTGCCTGGGGCAGGATCCAGCACAAGCTGCTGCCCGAGGGTTGGGCTGCAGTGGCGGTGGTACGCCTGCTTTCTGCGTGCTGCTCTGGCAAAGAAAATGCTGGCACGTGAATCTGGTGGAGTGAAAGGGGCAGCCTTTACTCCAGCCATCCCTGGCTTAACCAAAAAACATCTGGAATTACCCAGCCTTGGCTTACGCAGAACTGCCTGTGATTAGTGCTGGGCTGTGGCGTACAAGGTTTGCAGTAAAGTTGTGCCCTGCCATGGAACCACTTTACTCTCTGCATTAACCTCTGTCCATGTGCCTCAGTCAAGTGCTTTTCAACACAAACTTATCAAAACCAATCTTGTCCCACAGGGAACCTGTGGTTTTGATGAAACTGCATTATGTACTGGGAAGTTTTTTGACCAGTTCTGTTTGAATACAAAATACTGACACAGCTGCTATGGACTTGTGCTGCTGAGGAAGTTGTACTAATCGCTGAGGGGGTGGCAGAACATGCTGCTTAGCAGTAGATGAGCCAATATATTTCTAGGGAGAGTCTGAAGCAAATGTCTCAAACAAATAATTTTTTGCCACAGCATTTTCCAAAATAATTTGCTTATGGCCCGCTTCCTAAGCAAATTCTGCTGTCCTGCACGCCTCGCCCTTCCACTCACACCCGCAGGGCCTGATGTGAAGAGAGGCACTACTCGCTACTTCTCATCTTCCTCTCTGAGGATGTGCTTCTCCTTTTCCTCCTCCTCAAGGAATGGGCTTGATGAAGAAATGATCCACCAATATAATAAAGAACAGTTATTTCTACTTTAGAAATGAGGAAATGAGGCTGCAATCATTTAAGGGAATTAGGCTCTTAGAAACCACATTTGAGGATTAGAAAAAATTGCTGAAGGCACAGCAAGGATCTGAAGGAAGGTTGGGTGACTATTTGTGTTAGTGTACTGAGCCTGGGCACCCAGCTTCTCGCCTTCTCCATTTGTAAAATACTACGAAAGGCACTTAAAGCCATTTCGCCCAGTCAAATCTTTGAGAGAAATGATTTCTCAGGGTTAATTCACAGTTGCCTATTAGAAACTTCAAGTAAATGCTTCACGAGCTCAGCCTCTTCTGTAATGGGACAAACCTCCCTCCATGTGACACTGGGTGGGGTTCCAGCTGAACTCACTTTCGGCAGTCAGAAATTCAGCCTCTATGCTGCCTTAGCCATCGAGCCACCCTTGATGGTCAGTGACAAGCGAGAGGCATGGCCAGAGGGCACTCCTCTCCCCTAAAACCAGCATGTAAGGTACATGGCAGGGTCACCTCGCAGCCCTGACCAAAGGAGAACCTGAAACAATGTATTTGGACAAGGTGCCCTTATTGCCATGTGGCAAATAATGTGAGTTTCACGCTAGTGATTTAATTGTAAGATCCATTTTAGCACTTCAGAACTAACTTTTTCTCCATTTGCTCTATCTGGGGCTGGACAGCAAGACAGGAGTAAACAAACCTCATGTGGAACTTCCCTTTCACTGAGATTTTCTTTTGGTTTCTTTCTCTTGGTAACGAGCAACCAGATGGTTTTTCTCGGTACCAAAACGCACAGCACAACAATTCATGTCCAGACAAATACTGTGAATGCTTCCTGGCCCACTGGGGTGCCAGGGAATGTGCTTGGCGTCATGGAAAGGAAGATTCTTTTCATTCTGTCCAAAATAATGGACATAGGTGCCAGGAACACAAAATTGCAATATCCAGCTGAAGCTCTTCATGGCTTACATATTCACGCTCTGAATAAACACCAAGTGAGACAGATCTTCCTATTGATCAGAAAGCTTCTCATCCTAAAGAATTTATATTACTTTATCATATGTTTGGAAAAACAAGTTTGTATCTTCACTGGGTGATAAACCAGGCAAAAAACAGCCCGCTATTGCATATTAACTTAGTTTGGTAATAAAAGTATACTATGACAGTTTTAGTGGCAAAGAGGTCACTGTCCCATAAAATCCAAATGCAGGTTGTTTAAATAAAAAAAAAAAAGAAAAACAGACAGACAAGATAATGGATAGCTGGGTTTGCTTGACTTGAAGTGGGAAAGGGTAGCCTTAGATTTTTTCGTTGTTAAATTCTGACTGTTGGCAATGAACATTCACCATACATCTAGGCTGTAGCCATCTTTACAAAACCTGTGTGTTTGTTAGCGGACTTTTACACATTTCCCAAGCTGATGGACACCTGAGTCTGTCTTTCCAAACCTTTGCACATTCTGACCATGGGTAAGTTCTCCAAAGGAGAAGTATTTCCAGGAGGGAAGAGGACGTGCTTTTTCAGCTTGGTGGTAGTCAGACCTCAATTTCGGAACGCTCCCACTCTGCTCGCTTTGCTAATGAAGTTTTTCAGGAGGTCGTGGTCCATTTCTGCAAAGCCTTGAGTTTGTGTAACAACAGTTAAATGGTTTATGCAAAATCTGAAGCAGAATTCTTCCAAGTCCTAGGAACAAATTGAGGTAATTTGTAATATGAATGATAGCAAAATAATAATAATAATTATTATTATTGTTATTATGTTTCAAAAATGCCATTTCATTAGCAGAGAATATAGTAGCTTGTTCACATTACCATTCCCTTTTCTGATCAGTTGGATTAGATCACAAATGATAGGATGAAATTTGTTCATACAAACTGTTCAATAATCCCCCTCTGAGAAACTCAGAAAACAGGAGTAGCCACCTAAATCAACTCTAGAACTCCATCGCATTTACTGAACTCATTAGAAAAGTTATTAGTAAGTGAAACCATTGACTTTCCCCACATACCACTACTAGAGCATCAGTAACTCCTTTCTTTTCCTCCCTGCACTGAGTTCAGTAGTGGTCCTGATAGCAGATATCCTAGTCTTGCTGAAAATAAAAGCAAAATACGACGTAACATTCAGTGATGCTCACTGAACACAAACTGGTTGTTAGGATACAGGTGTCTTTCATGGCTAACCTAGGAGTTGTGTGTCCCTATCTAGGAACTGGGATTCCTAGATAGCAAAAATGGTTCTGTCTTGCCCTGGTCTTGCTGAAACAGGATGCTCAGATGTTCAGCACAGGATACATACAAGCTGTTAGGCCACACAATCATGATTCCACAACAGCAAATTTTGCCCACTAAAAATCCTCACAACAGTGGCAATCCTTCTCTCTATCCACTGGGTCAACCCCCTTTAGCTGGTTCCTATGCAACAACTTGCTGTTGAAGGAAAATTAATTACCTTCTGCAGCAAGCAGAGCCGGAGCCAGCAGCCAGGCAAGTCTAAATTGGCAGTATGATCCATGACCTATAAACTCTTCAAGGGTTACAGCAAAAAGAGGTCTCTTAATCCGTGCCAATTTTATTCTGTGTTAGCTACACAAACATTGCAGTCAGGTCTTAATAGCAGAAAGAGATTTAGCAGAAGACCTGTGCATTTCCCTTTTTGAAACCTTTTCCTTAGATTGAATTTTTCAAGTCTATTGCCCCTGTCAAGATGTACCTAAAGCTTTACCAGAGGGCAAGCAGCATAAAATATCCCTTAAAAAGAAATAAGGTAGCAACAATGCATGGAAGTAAATTGTATTTCTCATCAAAAAGTGCTGGAAAGCAAGAAAAGGAATGAGAATAGAAGAAGAAGAAGTAAAAAATGTAGAAGAAATGAAAAATGTAGAAGAAAAATGTAGAAGATCAAAGACAATGACAGCTTAAGTTTCAGCAGACTTCTTTAATGCTGCTGCCAGGACCTAGGTTGCTTTACAGTCAAGGTGCAAACTTTTACATTAAATAAAATGAAGAGCAGCTGCTTTTTCTGGTACTGATCTTTGAAGAGGACCATAGATATAATAGAATTCTGATCACTAATTTTGCAGTTTCAAGAAATATTGGCTTTTTTTTCTGTTACATAGGAGATGATTAATCTAAAATTTGCTACAGTGTATATTAGAAATATGCTTTAAAATAATTTGTAGCAGCAACTATTTGTATTTTCAGAGGATAGGACAAACTCTTTTCAAGCATTTTTAATCCTAACAGATGCATACAGTAGCCAAGTCAGTCTTCAGTTAATTTGATACGTTAATGGCAGATGACACAGCATTATAAGTTTTCACTTGCAGTGTTCACATTTAATGACAGAAAAATGGAGTTAATTCTGTCCTTTCAAACTTCCAAAGTATCAGGCCTCTTTCACGATCCTTCTTTGGACAGTTTTCTGCTGAAGTGCCAATACACTGCACATGGTTCTCAAACCAGTTTTTACCATGTTAACGTAGTATGCCAAAAGACCCTGGCTTACTTCACAACTCCTTAGACAAAGACTATCCGCCTTTGCCGCGCTTCTCTGGGATATAGTTCTACTATATCCCTTTCTGAGCTGTGGATGTAGGGAGGAGGGCAACAACGCACTCCTGAGTTTGGCACATGCTGCACTCGGGGCAGGTAAACCAATTCATCATCTGATGATTGTGTCAGAATAGTACGTTTTGAAAGAATACAAGGTATACAGAATAAAACACTGAATCATAGAAGGAAGAGGAGGATAACATATTTAGTCATCTAGCCAATCCCTTTTACTGTGTTTCAGCCATTGTAAACTAGGACTTTGTCCGGGCTAGTTTTACTACTTCACAGTACGCCTAAATGTATCTTTAACTACTCTTTAATGACTTCACCTGACACAGGTCAACTAAAGGTACTTCTGCTTTGCAGATGTTCAAAACTGTTGAAAAGCTTGTAAGAGCAGAAACTCCAGAGTAAACCTTCAATGAAAACTTCTGCTGTTAGGGGGTTTGAATCATTTGGTCCTTTCCTGTCCAGCCCTGGTATGCCGGGCTTCGACCACCACAACACATTGCAAGTACAATTCCCCTTTGCCTCAGCTGTTCATGCCTTCCCTGACTGATACCTTGGTTTACTGCCTTGTAACTGGCAGCTGATAATCTTATTATCTATTAATCTGATGTTGTCCCCTCTTTTGATTTACAGAACTCACTGAGTTCTGGCCTCCTCTTTGCACCTCCTACACAAATTCATCTCATCAAGTACACTGCCTCCATACAGCGCAGACCACTGCAACATTTTTAATTCAGTTTTTCTTTCAGTCCCTTCTTTCTACTTGCTTCCTATACTTGGAACTGTTTATCAATCCATCCTATTACACTTCTAGCCTCTCCTGCTTTAAAACATCATCCTAGATGTCACAGCCAGGCCAAAAAAACCAACCCAATTTTAAAAAATATTGTTACCAGCTACATATTTTGGCTCTTCTAGCAGGTAAACTTCTCTGTTTGGCTATATTAATTACATTCTTATAAAGCATAATTCTTGAACAGAAAGATGAGGACTTCTCAACTAAGATGCTCAGTTATAACAGCGGCTACTAAGTTTTGTAGCCTACGTACACAGACTTCTTGAATAATAAAACCCACCACTTCATTATTTCCACAATCAGCATAGCACTAAGAAGTTGAGAAAAGGAAAATGCCTTTGAAAGTATTTGGCCATTTACAGAAAAAGCGCTTGCAGTACTGCTGATAAGAGGTTGAGTGCTCATGAAACATTCCACAGCCAAGGGCAGTCCAGATGACAGGATATGGGGGGAGGAATAACAATAGGTAATTCACTGCATGTCAGCGCGATTCCTTGTAAACAACATGGTGATATGAGCAGAAGTATAAATAGGGAGGGACTTCACAGGGAAATTCTCCTACTGCCTGTTAAAGGCAGTACCAGAATGACTGTACCTGACACTGGCAGACAAAACCATGAGGTGGAGAGCTCAGGCGGTGAACAGGCAAAGCAAAATCCAAAGGTGGAGAAGCAAATGACAGTGAGAAATCTGCATGCCATGCTGTGCCATGCTGTGCCAGATGACAAGGCAGGAAGCAGACTAAGAATCCTGACTCACAGGTGCAAGCCAAAAGGCCAGGAAGAAAACACTAATAGCTGCATTTTTTTTATAGCTTAAAAAGGGGAAAACAAACGTCTGGGAAGCCAGAAAGGGAAATGGCAGTAATCATGCCTCATCAGTTACATGCAATTATGTTTATCCGAAACAGCTTCATTTCTCAGGAAACAACTGTTTGCCCAAAGAGAAATTCTCCTTACCTGAGCTTCGTATTTGACAGCGGCGGAAAGAAGAGCAATGGCATTCTCTTCACAAATGCCTTGTTTGATCGTTTGCTGGCAAAGCTTTTTCAATCTGTTTTCTCTGTACAGTGTTGCCAAATCTAGCAGTCCTGTGAAAAGTCATACAGCTTTAACCATCCTGGTGCAAAACATATGTATTTATTTTCAAATTAAGCATTTCCCCTATTGGTTTACGCTGACTTTTAATCAAAGACTTGTTCTGTTTTTTCCCCCTGGATGATGTGTGCATTTTTAAAGGTCCTCAAAAGACGCATGAAAAAGGGAAGCTTTTATTACTGTGCAAGTGTTCTGTCTTCTTGTTCACTGTATTGTATTTCATTTAAGGCATCAATGAGTGATTACATCCTCTTAAATTCATGCGGGGAACAGCTCCCTTTTCACTCATGATCAAATTGCCATAGCTATGCAAACACAAACGTTTTAGTATGGCATTAGTGCCTTTTTAAGGAAAAAAAAAGTTCTTAATATGAAAAACAATGACTTCTTTTTGAACATTTTGCATCTTTGATCTTATTGCACCCCCACCACTCATTCTGCTACTGCACCCCTTCTTCTGACACCTGCCAAACTCAAGATATGAGTGCTAATGAAACTAAAATTAATGAGCCCTGCTTTCCTCACCCTGTTGTGACACACAAATTCTACTTTTCAGGAACGGCAACCTAGAGTTATTTCCATTTATGGAAAATACCTATTGCATCTTCAGGAGGGAGCCTAATGTTGTCCGTATACAGGTATTCCAGGAAGGCTCGGTAAACAGGATAAGAAAATTCACTCATTTCTATAATTTCATCGTCATTATTCAGGATGGAACGAAAATGTTCACACCTACAAAACACGAACAAAGATTGTATACTGTAAAGAGTTCGGCTTTAAAGGTGAGCTGCAGCAAGAAACTGGTAAAAAAAAAATAAATCAGTCATAACAGACTAAATACACAACCATAAACTCTAGCTACATGATTTCTTGGTTTGAACATGTTCATTTCTTTAAGCTTTATAAGGCTTATAAGCCTTATAATTTGGATTTTCCCTTTATTTCCGTTATTAATATTTTACAGTAGGCTCCATTTCTACTTGCAATAGCTTTAAGGATGGTCCATGTACTTTCAATGTCATTTTCTTAAATGAGTTATACATTAACCATGAATTTTATTACCTGGCTTGTAACAGATAAAATTTACAATTAAGTTACACACTTCAACCTGGTTTCTCCAACATAATCTAGTGAGGAGGGAAAGTATTAATATTTTAGATAACATTTATTCCAATGTCAGAGTCCATACACAATTTAGCATTAGATTTAATCATTATACTCAGGGATTAAAATATTTAAAGTCAAGACACTCTCACCCAGATCTTTCGCCACCTTTTTCTTACAAGTGTGAACACTTTTGTGAGAGACAAGATACAAACAAGGACAAAGCACGGCCTTTGATAGCTGTACTCTTACAGAGAGCTGCAACTTACAGTTCACAGTAACTTACAACTGACTGACCACTCCCTAAAAAACATCCTGTAACATTTGAATTGTTTTCAAAATTTTTGCTGATGGAAATTAACATCACCACCTCAGGTAACTTTTCCTACAACAGCAAGAATTCAGTTGGACTCTTTTAAACTACACTACTTACTTTCTAACTGTCCCACATCAGAATTTGCATTTCTTTTGCCAAAATTTTTATGTAGAAGGTAGGTTGGTTTCCTTTGAATGTCACTGGGACAAGACTACATCGTAAAGACAGAGTAACTCAGATACAAATGAAAAATAATTATTTGTTTTATCGCCTAATTTACCTTTTTCACATTTGATTTTACTGGTTATTTAAATAATTTTTTTCTTAGTATTTTATTTTTTAAATAAAATAAATAAACATTAAGTCAAATTAATAAAGAATTAAAAAGTCATTATCTAGCTTCTGCCACATCTTGTATCACGATCTGGCATTGGAAGAGGCAGACCAAACCCCATTCCTTTGTTTCCCTGAGCCTCGTGTTCAGTGGTGGCAACCGTGCTATCCCATGGAATAGACCTTGGGAATGGTCTGTCGCCCCAATGGCATCACAGGAAAGTAAAAAGTCAGAGAGAAGGTGGTACACATTGCTCCCTTAAAAATAAATAAGTAAATAAATAAAAATAAGTTTGTACTCATCCTTCAGTCTCCAAAGTACCTTGGAGTGCCTCATCCCTTGGAGTGCCTCTCTCTCTACCTCTCTCTCTGTGTAGAGACAGACCAGACACCTAATTTTGGCTGGCTAAATGCAGAGCAGATGAATCCCACCCACATGCCCATACGTATTTGTTTCTGCAGGCAGTATGTTGCTTGGCCAGCCCCTCACTGAGCTGGGCATTGCCCTGCCATTTCACCACCATCACAAGCTAATAACCAACAACATCATCTAATTCAACAGTAGGCATAGAAGAAGATGGGAAAAAGTCTTTGGAAGTGGTAAAGAAATGACTGGATCATGAAAAGGAACTTTTACCAGCACTGCATTCATGACAATGCTTTGGAACAGGCTGAATGCTGCAAAGTACCATATTAAATACGTTATCCTCTGATCCAGCTGCAACATGAAGCTGCAAGGCTTAAAGAAAGTATTAATTCTACAGACTGTGCCTGATGCTTTATTACTCCTGCATATTATTTTGATAATGCCATACATTTAAATCCCATTTAGAATTAGATGCATTTCCTTCCTGGATTGCCATATAATCTGGGACAAGTAGAGCAAGAAAAAAAGAGATAAGGAAAAGTTACATTTAGTCTGATTATAAGGAAAAAGAACGTCAGAAACACTTTGGTGATAAACAAGATTTGAAGTCGTATCTGGTGGAGAATACATGGCATTCCGAACAAAAAGGGTAGACTATAGGCATGAGTGTAAAGTACAAGTAATGAACCCAGTAAAGGGAAGAAAATAGTAATACAGGTAATTGGTGTAGCAAGAGAGCAGAAAAGACAACAAAAAGAGCAGGCAAGAATTAACAAGGAACTTTAATTTTATGCCGTAATATATAAGAAATCACTAGCAGGACTCGGTAGCAAAAGTAGGAAGACAAAAATGGTGATAAGCAGGATGAGATAGCCAAGCATTTTGAGAAAGAAAATAGCCAAACTATTGTAACAGTGAGGAGGATGGAGCACAGCAGTTAGCAAGACAGAAGAGATCTAAAGCAGTGTCTCTAGAATATCCTAATAGAAATGCGTCAGCAATAACAAAGTAATCTCTGCATGTTTATAACAATGTGATTACTTTGTAGATCTGAGTATGTCAAATCTCACTGTAAAGTGGTGTTAGCTTGCAAAAAAAATGTAAAAACAAAAAGAGAAGCCACCTGTCCAAGCAGTGAGGAAACCAGGAAAAGAAAGTTACAATGAAGAACAGCAGGTGAATCCCATGGCTGAGAGAAAAAGGAGTTTGTAAGAATAAGTCACGAATTCTGAGCAGTAATTACTCAGCATAGTGGACTATGCTACACAGTTCAGTTTACATGAAACTATACAGTTTGTGCTTTACCTAATTTTGAGAAGAACTTTATGAACATGAATATATTTTCCATCCACCAGAAACTTCAGGTCTGCAGTTTCAGGGTTGTCAAATTCCTTCTTTAGTGACTGAGCTACTGTTAGGTGGTCATCAGGCTCTAGAATGAAAAGGGGAATTAATAGTAAGTAATACAAGTATCTCTCATGGTAACATCCTGGGTATCTGTCAGCAATTTACACTCTTAACAAATACAACATCTCTTTAAGTCTAGTAGAAAAACCCAGCAGACTCTGCATTCTATATGAACCCCCAGAAAAGCAAATTTATTTTTTTGGGCGGCTTTCTTCAGTCCTTACTAGTTTCGTACTCCAAACAAATATCCCTATTGAAAAAAAAAAAAGTCCCACTCCTCTAACTCATCTATGTAATGCCAGGAAAAAAACAAGTAACATAATCTCAGAAGTTTAATGCTGCATCCAATAGCAAATGCTATTAGCCATTACTGGGTAAATTATTCTAAATGAAAAGTTATTATATAGTCATTATAAGATATATAATAACTTATTTCAGTTATATAGTTATTTATATTTAATTATATAGTTATTATGGAATACCCAAAAGGTCAAGAAAAATCACAGTAAGATCTTCTAATACTCCCATGAGGAGATATTATCTTACAGCAGAAAAGCAGAAGCTATTACATAGCCAACATATTGGTTGCAGTGATACTGCCCAGTACAATATCCCTAAAGGTGAATACCAACAATTACAAGTGTATTCAAAAAGTGTTTTCCCTAGACTTAGGGTGTTAGAAGCACTCTTTGTGTGAAAGTCTGCCTATTTCTGTTTGTGTCATATCCACGCGCATCCCATTGTGCACGTGACATTTGTATTATAAAGTTACCAGGTAGCCTTGAAAAGTCATCTGGCATCTGCATACAGATTTTTATCTCCTGAAGTGTTTCCTAATCTCTATTGTATTTGGTAGCCTCAGAGAACTACGTTCTTTTAACACTACTGAAAAATTAAACCCCCAAAACCTTATTCTTAACCCAGAAAACATTTTATCTTCTTACCATATAAATACACATTATTGGTTTATACAAATTCTGAGGGACACTAATGAGCTGTTCTCTACAGAAAATTACAGAAATGCTAGGTACTGTAACCTACCAAGCTAGAAATAAGAATAGCATTCTGCTGGAAATGGGAAGACCTTCATCACAAACTCTAGAAAAAACTTAACACACACAGTTTGATACTGTTAGACCTTGTTTAGCACAATTATTTTCCATTGCATTTAGCGGATGTCACTTATGTTCAGGTATACCCAATTAGGGCAATAATTATTGAAGAGCATTGAATTACAAGTAAAAGGATTGGGAGCAGGGGGAAGCCAATGTAATGATAAAAAAAACCCTCCTGAAATAATGATACTGTAAAATACTTCATTAGTTCATAGAATCATAGAATTGTTTAGGTTGGAAAAGACCTTTAAGATCATCAAGTCCAACCAGTTTTTCTTTTGTACAGTATACTTTATTTAGTCAGACCTCTGCTATCCAGATAACTACAGTCATTTTAACAACCAATGCAAAGCTGAAGCTCTACAGTAATAGTTCAAAGGATCTGGTACTATCCTGTTGTGCAGCCTGTCTTCAAAGTTAAATGGCAATTCATATGTCCATCAATATGCATCTCCAGATGACTTCTACAGCCAGAAGAGGTAAGCTGAATACAGTGGGGTTCAGTTATGAAATTCTTACAGGGAAAATAGGTGCTTTTATTTGTTACAGCAGTGAAGGGGCAACCAGAGGAAGGAAATGAAGCAGCAGATCATGCTGACAAGACACAAAGCCAAGAGAATTCCTTAGCAGTCAGGACTAAGAATCGTTATAGAAATGGTAGAACTGCGACGAACGGGGAATGCAGGAGAATGCCTGGGTGTGGAAGCACCAGCATACAACAGTTGGAAAAGGGCTGGAAGAATGGCAGCTGTCCATGGCACCCAGCTCCACAGATGTTAAGATCCCAGGACACAGCTGCCTGATGATTCTCACCACACTTACATCAGGAGACACCAGTGAGTCAGTCCTGATGATTCGCCAAGGTGGAAATGATGGAGTGGCTAGTCACTCTCTGCTCCTAGAGGGTGCAAAAAGGCACATCTGAAACCAGCACGTGGTTACCTAACCAAAAGGAATCCAGGAGCCATGATGAGGGCCTGATAGTCAGCATCCTTTATCCTGTGTCATCACAAGGAACCCTGCTTAGACCACCTGAATACACATTTTAGTGCTGGGATGCTGGACAGACCACTTGGCACATATGAGAATGTGGGTCTGAAAGCGCATCTGGAATTAGTTTTGTTTAAAAATAAAATAACCTTTTCCTTCTGTAAGGTTTCAGCTTGTGCTTTGGTACAATGTTGCAACGCTGTAGCAACATTATTTCCAAAGGGACCAAGAAGTCAAGGTCAAAAAATAAAACAAAAAGAGCTGCTACAGTCAAAAATTACTCTCAAGGTGCGAAGAGTGCAAGGAGGCTGGGTGTATTGTTCATGGTGACAATGAAGGCGGTGATAAAAGTTGTGTTGGGAAATAGTTACGGATGTGGTCTTAACCACGCTGTGTTAAAGAGAGTGAATATCAGTTAAGTATTAATGAGCAATATACTTATTAATAAACAGGTTACTTGGAAGTATTCAGCATAAAGGTGATAATCACATGAATTATCATATAGAATCCCGCTCAGGACTCTCTTAGCTGACCTAAATCAGCACTGCTGACCTAAAACACCATTCGTTAAAGAAGGTAAGAAAAGGTGAATTTGCAGAAAGGAACACTGAAGAATCGTGACAGAGTTTCAGTCTCACTCAAGCAGTTGTTTGCTCCATGAGGAACAAAATAAGGAAAGAGGCAGGTTTTGCTTCTTGCCTTCCTTCACTCTCTAAAAAATTCCTCAGTACTCTGCACTAAACTGAGAAGAAAAGGCAAGAGAAAAAGTGGAGGGGAAATTCTGATGGCATGAAATAATATTTTATCTGAGCAAGAAGAAATGGAAGCTGAAGAGCCCTAGAACCCCGCTAATGTACATAAGAAGATATCTATAACTGAATTTATGATTAAGATACATATACTAATTATGTCCCATTTCTTCCATAAAATAACCAATTCTTATGGAAGAAAAAATTGAACATACTACAGATATTTTTATGTGAACTTACACTGACAAACACATATTAACATGAAATGAACCACCCCATCGCTTGGGATTTTAGTGCAGTAACACAATTTACATCTAATTAGTAGTAGTCAAATATTAAGAATATAAAGAATTTCCACAGTAGTTAAGCATATATCTTACAGTTCTGAACAAGCCACCCTATAAAGCACAACCACCTCAACCTAGAGCAAATGGGGGTCTTTGGACTGTGCACTAACTAAAACATACATTTTGGCAAAGCAGTTTCCTGAGAAAAGCATTCTCCATTTAATCCCCTAATCTCTCAAAGGCGAAATATGAGTACTATTAACATAATTTCCTTACCTTGGCATCCAGAAGGCACCAAGGGAGCAAAGAGTGTTCCACAATTGTCAGACAAAAGCATACAGCCACACAAAAGCAAAGTACAAAGGCAGTACAGAAGTGGAATGGATGGACTCAATACAGTTCAAATTACAAATTGCCAAATTGCTACATTCTAGCTTTTAGCTTAAGCTCCCATATGACACCTGTAGACAACCCCCAAATCTTTGATTAGGTCAGCAAAGCCAGTAACTTTATTAGCAACCAATATGGGATTGAATTTTTAGCTGAAGAATGAACTCTCTGTTAAACAGTGTTATATGCTCAATGCTTTCTAGTCAAGGTCAGCAAGACAGACCTTCATTTTAATCAAATATCTGAGATCCCACAACTTGTCTCTTCAAAAGCCCAGGTCACAATCACTTGTGATGAGACTCTAAGTGCCTGTGGCCAATTTTGAACACGGGAATTTGGCTCCCTCCTTCTTAGTAGTCTGCTTAAGGACATCAAAGAAAGCTTCAGGGTTCCTAAATGTCCTGCATGGCTCCCTCAAGTCTTGAAATTCAAACTCAGCTTCTCCACCCATGGCCATTGTACAGTAACATTCAGTGGTTACACAAAGAAAAAACCCCTCCCCAAGCCCAAGGCATTTCCCCACAGAAACAAACCATGTCAATAAAACAGAAAATCATTTAGCACTGCCATCAGGCCTTAGCAATTTTTTACAATTCCATATTATTATTTACTCAGATGTAATGCATGATTATGATTATGCTTCCCAGTATAATTTTTTGCAAGAAACTAAGTTCAGGCTTCAAATACATGCAACTGTTTTATGCACTGACGATTCTATTCAGAAGATGTCAAAACAAAAAATACTTAAGCTCACCTACTGATAGAAGGCGCCACATAACGGCAGGGGTAGCAAAGCAAGCAAACACATCGTCAGTGCAGGCAAAGTGAGTGAGGTGGGGAAGGATCACTGACTGCCCACGGCACTGGCCCCACATGTACACCCGGCCGCTCTGGGTCTTGGCAGCCGACGTGTGAGCAGAGTGGCAGGCTGCAATCTCTGTAACTCTGAATTTACAAGCAAACAAAGAAAAAAAGCAAGTCACTCTCATAAGATCAAAATGCAGTGGAGAAGCTCGCTACCTCCTGTCTTCCTCTGGTGCAAAACATGTTTGTAAGCATGCATGCACTTCCAATTGCAAGAATGATCTCCTATCATACATCGCAAAGTTAAAAGGGCAATCAACATTTCTTTAAAGAGCATGCACTCCAACAGCTTCTCAGTGAAAAAGCATGGTGGGAGTGAGGAGATACTGTTGCAACAGAGCAGCATATCTGCTGCAGCACATGCTCTGCTGACCCCCTTGGCTCCCTCAGACAAAGCTGTGATGAGTTTCAAGCCTCTGAATGTCTTCAGTGGTGCTGGGCAGTGAGGTGAGTGGCTGCATTAAGCTGTAGAGAAGGGGTACTTGGAGAAGATGAAGAAAAAAATGAGGAGGCATTTAAAAAAAATTAAAAAAAACCTTTTTCCTGCTTGCTTACTGGTAACAGTTACAAACCAACAATTTAAACATACTTCTTCTAATTAAAATACTGAAGTGTCATTACTCATACAATTATTTTTACTTACATTTAACGGATTTTCATTTTGAAAATTAAAAATTAGAAGCAAACAGCACTAAAAGCTGTTTCTAAGTGTATTTTAGCTGTTAGGCTATCTCACGGATCCTAAAGTTGATTTAGGATTTCAAACCCCCCACTCTGTACAACATTACACAATCCACTGTTTCGCAGTCTGAACTACTGCTTGTTTACTTGTTTTCCCAGCTGCCTGGGGAAAATAGCTGGGAAACAACTTGTTTAAAGCTGTATGTACGAATCTTGCGGGCTTTAGTGAGCTAATGTTCTCACAGACACCAGGAATGCATATTCTGGCCAGCAAAAGCGCAAGGCAACATACAACATTAAAATTTGTATTAAAATGTGGTAACATTTTAACTGCAGTCAAAGTGTCTGGCAAAAACTCAGTTAGATTTTAAGCAAAAGCACAAACACATATGAAGAAATAGCAACATTCAAAACCAGGCCGTGTCTCACCACCAGAGAGAGGTTGCCGCTTCCTTACAGTAATGTACACGGACACAAGTTTTAAGTGGGACATCTCACTTATTTTTCACAATAGGAGGCCAAAGTCAAGACCTCACTACTAAGGAATGGATTCAAATTTCTGGCCACATATATACATGGCTTTACATTAGCAATACAAATAACTGCCCCGCTACCCATCAAGGACTTACAGGAAAATATTTAACTTGTAAAAATCTAAGCTTAATTTTCAGGCAACAATACCAAGAAAGAACTCCTCCCTTTCTCTCTCTCCTGATTTATGAGCCCAATTTAGTAGCAGAAATAAGACACATTGCAGATGCCCACTCCTCACTTTTTCTGTGTGTACGTCTTGTGAAAAGTAGCATATTAAAATACAATTTGTATTCAGAGACAATAAAGCTTTTGTCGTTGACTTCAAACAATTAAACCATACCACTGAAGAGAAACTCCAATTAAGGCCTATAAAGTACAGTGTGAGCCAAAGCAGAAAACAGCACATTCGGGCTACTCAGAACATTCAGTTTCTCTTTCACAAGGATGGTTATGGGACAGATTCAGGCACTTTCAGTGAATATTCTTTCACATTTAGCAGAAGAACCACTGCAAAAAATTATAGGCTACTTCTTCCAAAAACAGATTAAAAATGCCATAATTTTCTGTAGCTCTTCTGAGACTATGACAACTAATGTCTGACTGCTAGACCGTAAGTATTACCTGTCCTTATCCACAACAACTGTTGTAGGGTAAGACTGGTTACTTTTATTCCCAGTACCTAACTGGCCATATGAATTGGCTCCCCAGGCATAAATCTGACCTTCATCTGTGAGCACTAATGTATGCGCATAGCCACAGGCAACCTATAAGGAATAAAAAAGAGAAAGATCTCATTTTTATGTAACAGTAAGTTAATACAGACAGATACATGTTATGCTATACATTAATGTTATTGATTCCATATCAGTGTTAAAATTACAAAAATTACAAATACAGATAAGTTTATTAAAAAGGGATGCAAAGAAGATGAGGTGACTTTGAGGGAAAAAAGGTATCAGCGAGGAACCCTGCCGGATAATCTCAAGAGTACAGCAAAAGAATAGATAAACATTGAGAAAGAAGGAAAGCTATATGGCAAGATATGAACAGTATGCAGAAAAAAAGGCAGATCCATCTTGCACTGACCTTGCTCTATGGGCAACTGCTCCAACGGGAATAGGCTAGCACTGTAAAAACAGGCAAGGTCTCCCTGTCTGCTCCTCTCCTCCCTGCCTGCCAGGCACACAAAGCTGCCCCCTCCCTGTGCCAGTTCGAGTGCTCACCGGACCCTCTGCTGAGACAACTTCCACTACTGGAAGGATACTCTCCATAGGTAGGCCTGAGGACCACCAGTGCCCACAGAAGGTAAGCAACAGGAGCAGCCAGCCAGGAAAGAGAGGGAAGAGATGAAAATCTCCAACTTGATGGCAGCATGCAACTGTGTCAGCTCATACCCTCTTGCAGAAACCCACTCAGACCTGCTGAGCTGCCTCCACAGGTACCCTACATAAGGTTGCTTGAATATCCACTTTACAATCTACATATGCAGCACGTGCCCCACATACAGATACGCAGTGGCAAAACTACCAGCCAACAGTCTTGCTCTGCATCAGTTAATGCAACCTATTATAGCTAGATAACTGATAACCAATTCACATTGTTCAAAACTAGCTCACATATCTTTATACAATCTGCAAAGCAGATATACCATAAGTACATGTACTCCATTGACATCCATGAAGCATGGTGATGTGCTTTAAATGAAATAAATCCTTAAGTTATTTACTGATTGAAGGTCTACAACTTGGTATTGATCGATATCAAGCAAATGAAGTGGATGGAAATAGGATCTAAGTCAAACTTACTGGAGCACCTATACTCTCTGAACAGGAGAGTAAATACAAGGGAAAATAATATTCACTTTATTACATTATTCTCAACAGCAATTGTTACCAGCAACGCTACTGTCTACATCCTAGGAACTGAATGTAATTAAATTAGTTTATTTTAAAAGGTTTAAGAAATCCATAACTTCCCAGAGTAAATGTAAAAATAGGATCCAAAGTTCAAAACACCCTTGTAAATTTTCACTAGGTTACAAACCCAATGTTTTCTAACAGAATGTGTCATTTTCCTGACAGTATCCTCTATTTTAGATAAATCAATTTAAAAACTTTCAGTATCAGTTCTCCAGTTACTTTAAATATTTCTTATCAGTCAAAAGAAGTTATCAGATTGCTAGTTATACCGATGGCAGCCCAGTTGTTCGGTAAAGTGTAATAACCACCCAAGATCAAGACCAACCACGGAATCATACCAACTGCTGACCGAAAGCAGTTGGAGACAATTTGTTCAGGCTCCAAACACCAGTTAGTCACTGTGGCTGGACTGCAATTCTAAAAGTGATATTCAGTCTGCCAGAAAGACAAAATGCTAAAACTGCAGCATTTTCCCAGAGAAGAAGACAGGGGTTAATGAAGAACGGGGTAGCCTAAGAAGACTTTCTAATTTACTAAAATAACAGGATTTTTTTTTTAAATGGGGGAAAAAAGACCAAACATTCCTAATGCCCTAGTCCTCTTTTAAGTACGATCCTGACCTCACTGAAGTCAATGGCAAAATTCCCACTGAACTCCACAGGGTTGGTCACAGTTTCTCCCCTCCTAACAGAGGTGCATTTTAAGATACGTACTTTCATTCTGCTAAACGGCAGATTAAACAAAGAGATAAATGTAGACTACGCCTTAGCATATTTTCAGTTGTTCATCAAAGGGTTTGACATGGAGCGTCGCACACGTACCCGCTGCACACGAGTGCCTTGCAACGCTGCTATTCGGCATGGCGTCGGCTGATTGCCGCTGCTGCCCAGTCCCAGCTGGCCGTTACCGTTGTAACCCCAGACATAGACCTTAAAACCAGAGACAGGGATTTTAACTGTTTGCTACTCTCCACATCTTTGGAAAGCCATGTGACAGCTTCAGAGTTACAATAATGATTTTCTTCAATATTTCTTGTCCCCTCACCTTAGGATCGGTGCTTTATATGTAAACACACACAAACACACACACATCTATACATACCTATATAAACGTATATATACATACATGCATATACACACACATGTATATGTTTTTCTGTACCAGAAATTTTGCATGCTGCTTCTGTTTAAAATACCAACTGCATGCTCATCTGAAATTCTAAACCTCCATATTCATGTTGCTCTTTAAGAGTTAGATTATGTAAGACCACAATATTTTAGTATGAAGAGTAGAAAACAAGTGATTCATGTGGCTGTTTCCCAGCACAGAGCAAACTCAGCATGAATACTTCCCTTTTTCTAAGAGCTAATTTCTCATTCAAAAATCCTCCAACAGAAAAGAACACACACTAAAACAAGTATAATCTGGAAGCTATGCACAACAGTTTGAGTAGGCTGTTAACAGCTTTACGCTGAACATAAGAAAAAGGGAAAATACTGAGCTCTGATAATTTCAGTGACGTGTTCTACTGCAAACAGTCAATAGCTACTTAGGTCTAAACTGAAATACTTGGAGTGATGGAGCTAGAGAAGATGTAGGCTGCTCAAAATCTTCAGCTCATGTGAACTAAACCATCAAGAACACTACAACCTCTTCATATCTTTGCAACGAGGATAAAAAAATATGAGACAGATTCTAGGGCTCTGCAGTAGAACAGATATATGCAATGTACTTCTAGTTTCTCTGCTTTCTCTTGATATCAAGTGTGCATATATGAGCACTGAAAATTAAAATAGCATTCACTGATTATCCTCACATTCTTCATACTTAAGACTCTAGTATAGACGGTAATTTATTTTTCTATGAATGCTAAAGACAGCAGTTGGGATAAAGTATCAATCAGCACATTCATTTTTGCAAGAATATAATACCAGCTTGAAAAATCAGTAAATCAGTGATACAAGCTTAGTTATTTTTACATAGAGAATATGAAGCTAGCATGAAATGCTAAGTATACATATATAGATTCCATATGATTTAATCCCCAAATTTGTAAAAATCTCCTCACCTTCTCAATACTATTTTTACTTCAGAACTGTATGTTCAAGTAAATTTGAAATTTGATACTTGAATTCCTGCAATTCAAAGCCAACTTCAATAGCTGATACAAAGCAATAGCTGATAAACTTTATGAGTAATCTCATAAACCAAAAAGACATAAACCAAATGTTAGTGAACAATTTTCCTTGTTTCACTCTACCTCCTTCCTAAAGAAGAAACCATAATCAGCACGGATAGGAAGATATTCTAAAGTATGTCAGAATGTGCAGGACAACTTATGACAACAGTTTTTATAAGGAGTATAAGCAGGTAGATCTGAGGAAGTCTGGAAAGGTATACTTGTTTTCTGAGTAGAAGCATACTACTGTCAGCTTTGAAATTATCTACATCCATGATATTACATAAAATAAAGTTCAGTCAGAAAATTCACCTAAAGTTTCTTACCTCTCCATTTTCCACCACAGCCATAGAGCACATCTGTCCACAAGCTATATTAACTACTATTTTATTTTGTAGGCAGCTGGTAACTCTTCGAGGAATGGGTTGATTAGCTGTTGAACCAGATCCAACTTGGCCTGAGTTATTATAACCCCATGTGTATACCTGTTGTAAGAGAATTGCCATAGAAGAAGGCTACATAACATACAGTTCAAAGTACACATTCAAGAGAGAAAAATGTTATACGCATACAAAATTACATTTTGAGTTCAAATGGATGTATTCTTTTAAAGATCTAGGCAGATACATAGGCTTACAACTTAATTGTTTCTGTTAAAAGTATGCCACTCATAATATTTATATATTCCACATTCCAATGAAAGGTAAGAGGCAACATGACAGTTGCATTAAAGCTGGAAGAATTCATTGCTAGTTTTCCAGAACCCAAAGTAGAATGGCTAACTGGACATAAATGGCACCTCAAAGTAAATGGCAGAAAACTTTTTACTTTGGTGGGTAGAACTTACTTTCATGAACGTTATTTCTATTAATGTCAGCTTTAACACCACTAAGCATTTACAGTAGAGTAAAGCGTAGAAAGGAACTAGCTGCCTTCTACAAAGAAATTATAATTTCTTACTACAAGCAGATGTGGCACAGAAATTAATGCTCTGCATGCGCTACAAAGCACTAGACCCTAACAGGTTTTCCATTTTTATCAAACATTTGTGTTAGATCAGGACTGTGAGGATAGAAGAAGCAAGGTCTAATCCTCTGGGTGTAGAATGTTTTCCTGTTTCTCACATACGTGAATTTCATTAAGAGAAAAGAAGGATTTATTCCAGCTATTCTCACCTCTCCATCAGATGTTAACACCATAGAATGATGAGAGCCACAGGCAACTTCAATGACTTTCTTGTTCACCAAGTTAGTAGAGACTTGACAGGGAACGAAACCGTGATTTGTTGTACCATTGCCCAACTGACTATAAGCATTATGACCCCATGTATACACTTCTCCTTCTATAACAAAAATGTAAAAAGCTGGTTTAAAATCTCTATTTTTCCAATGAGTACACAACATAAAAATACAAACTGAAAAGTCAAATTCATTAATAATATACATGTTTAGGGATGTGTGTGTGTATATATATATACACACATATATATGCCCTTTGGGGCTCTTAAACCCATGGAGATACCAACACTACCTTCACATAGTGTTGACCACAAATCCAAAAGGATTATATCACCACAACCTTAGTAAAGGAAATCATATAGCTAAAAGAAAGGACATAGTGCAATACAGAAGAGAAAAGGATGAAATGACAGTCAGGAGTCCCCATTTCAATTTCTTTGTTACTGACAATGAATCAAAATTTCTTGTCTATGCCTTGGCACTGTTTCCCACTTTGGAAAATTCAAATGACAAGCTTTCATTCCTTTACAATATACATGAAGATGCTTGTAAGAAAAACTTATTATTACATATTAATAAATATACTGTTATTTACTTATTATTTAAACATACTTCGGTTAGACCAATGGTCCACCTAGTGCAAAATTCTGTCTCCAACTGGCAACGGAAAAAAGCTGCTGCATAGGAGAAACATGGTCATGTTTTGCAGTTCCCAAGCATTTACAATCACTAGAGTACAGATACTACCAGGTGCTTCTGATTCTCTTTAACATACGTATATTGGCCCGTTATCCATGAAGCTAACACCTTTTCATACTCACTTTCTTTCATCTGTTTTATATCAAGTGTCCTCTAGTTACAGTAGTGCAGGACTTGAAGAATAGCTGTCCTATATTCATCTTGTCTATCATCATCACCATTTTCTAACCATGAATTACACCATTATTGCAGGAGAGCTAGGTTTGACATACAACTCCATCAGATTTCTAAAGAGATCACCAAACTCCTTATCTCTAAGAAGGGTTCCCTTATCTAGACTCTACTAATCATCTAATCTAGACTACTCAAAAAGACTTCTTCTCATTAATGGAGAGAGACAAAATTTTAACATCATCATCCAGGCTCTAACAGAACCTCACTGGGAACACAACATTAGTCATTTTTCTTCGAGAATAACGTATTTAATTATGAACAGAAGGGCCACCAGCATGATGTGGATAATAGAGTGTCAATGAGACAACAGAAAACAAAAGGCTGAGAGGCGATATAACTGGTCTTTAAAGCACATCCAGAAGTAGGTACAGGTGGGAAAAGATGCATTTTAGCTGAAGGACAATGTTGGCAGAAGAACATATGGACATAATGTACCCACTAATGCATTTCAAAAGCAATCAGAAGTTCCAAACCAACTGCAAAGTAAAAAAAAACCAACAAAACCCCCAACTTCCCAAAGTAGTAACAATATCAAAGCAGAGCTTGAAAAACTTTTGAAAAGAACTAGCTATGAACAGAGCTAGCTGACATGTCATGTTCACCAATGAAAATACGTTGGACTTGATAGCCCAGAATATCTATCCCAATTCCTCTCTTGAGTTACCAGCCAAGACCTTTCACACCTGCTGGACTAATTAAAGTGGACGTATCTGAAAATGCAATATTCAGATCATACTTTACCTTCTGTAGCAAGAACAACATGAGGGCCGCTTCCATAACTCAGACAGGCTATCTTTTTGCCACACAGAGAATCTAACCTCCTTGGTTCAATAGTGCTCTGCATGTCACCTGTTCCCAAACACCCACTGCAGTTCATGCCAAGCACAAAAACCTGTTATAAAAGAATCACAGAATCATAACTTAGATTGTAATGGAGGACCTCCAAAGGTCAGCTAGTGCAACCCCCTGCTCAGCAAAGATCTAAATAGATCAGTTGACTCAAGGCCATGACCAGTGGAGTCTTGAACACCTCCAAGGAAAAAATCTCACAACCCTTCCATGATTTAACCACTCTCGTCATAATTTTTTTTTCCTGATACTGAATCAGATTTTTTCATCTTCCAGCTTGTGTCTGTTGCCTCTCACCCTGTCACTACGCACCTCCAAGAAATGTCTAACTCCATGTACTCTTTATCCTCTGATTGTGGTAGAAAGCCATTAATTTGAATTGAAACTGGTTTAGTTGCAATCAAAATGATCACACATTTTTGCATGCAACTTTTTCTAGGTATACAATCATAGTACTGGCTTTCAGAATATCTTGATACATAAATGACTAAATATGTCATGTTCTTAGACACTCTTGGACAATTACCTCGTCATTTTCAGTTGCATACAACACTTCATTACCGGCACTGCCAAATACACAGGCTTGACGAATTAACTTGAGCTCTTCTTGGGAACAGAGAGAAAAAATTGGCCATTTCCCAACATCCAGCATCTTCAGGGCTGACAATAATGTTGCTTCCAAGACCTGATATTATAAAAAATGATATCAAATACCTAGACAGAGAGAAATGTATACCTTTGCACAGTAAAAAGGATCAATTTAGAGAAACAACACCCTATCCTTGTTCCATCAAAAACCAGTATTTTAATTTTAGAACAATACTTCAAGGGAAGCCATTAAAATAAACAAATAAACTATCTTGTGATCCAGAAACAAAGGATCTATATGGATCAGAAAAGTATCATATAGGAAGTTAAATAGTAATGTTGTATTTTCACTGTATTCATACAACATAGCTGCTAGCTCATAGAATTCAATGTAGATGATTCTAATATAAAGTGTAAAGTACACATTCAAAACTTGAAAGTGATTTATGTCTTTTCCTCTGGTGCTAAAATTACTGTTAAAAGAAGAAACAATAAAAAATCTGCCAAGAATATACTTATCTCTGAAAAATAAACACATTTGTTTTCATGAATTGAAAATGGAAACTTGAGAAAACTTGAGAAACTTCTTCCTTTCTCCTTTACTTCTGAAATTTACTTCTGTGTTTCAACTACTGAATCTTTGGGAACTCCCTAAGAATATTTGCATTTTATGTAAGTGGGCATATAATAAAAGAAAAAAGATAATTGAGCATTTTCCAGCTTAGCCAAGGACAAAGGACAAGTTTATAGTTAAAAGAAAGCAGATTTCTCCACACATTAAAACTAGTCAAGCTAATGTCTGAATCTCACGCAACATTTCTACTACTTTAGTATTGCATAAATCAGAAAAACGTTGCAGTATCAAAATCGAACAGGAAACTTTGCATGGAGCATGCATCAAATTTTCTTCACTGGCATTAAACTAGGCTCTGGACACAAAAGAAAAGCAGCATTACTTGCCAGATCAGAAGGTAAGCAAGAATAGATTTTGCCTATCACAGGCATTACGTAGCTCACCATGTAACAGTGAGGATTGCATCATTAGTTTGTATCTAGCAAGTAGCAGACTTACAAAATGATCTGTTATAGAATATATTTTTTTCTACCTCTGAAACAGAGATGTGAATAAATTCTAGTCTGGCATCTGAAGCACGTTATGTCAGTTATAAGGACATTGGTTTTTTGATTAGTATCACTCACTATGAAAAAAGGTTCACAGAGACACAGATAACATTTGAAACTAAAGAAATAATCCCTAAATTAATCCAGAACTAAAATCTTTAAACACATAGCAGTTAATCACAAATTTCTTTATAGTATACTTCTGAGCAAGAGAAAGGAGGGTTGGTCATCTTCCCTAAAGAAAAGCTGTGGTTTTGATCACGCTAGTTCTTTCCATCTCCTCACACCAAATTGACCTCACTGATGAACTGCAGCCAAATTTGCAAGTGAAAGGGAAGTAAGATTCTGCTGACACAATCCATTTGGCAGTAGGCAGCTGGACAATCAGACATGTATGTTATGAAATAAGTCAGCAAGCAAGTAGGTCCGAGCTAATCCTAGCAAACGCTGTTCTCCATGACACATAGCAGGGTTATAAGAGATGAAGGACATGAATCCATATGGAATCAGGCTTCACTCATCTGCTGTTCGCAGAACAATTTGTTTTATGTCAAGAAGTTAGCATTAATTCTATGGAGGATTTTAAGCACTTTTACAATATGCTAATGAATACTGAAAGCATCACAGACTAGTCTTCCCGTTGCATCAACAAAATTGCATCTCACTTTTGCTGAAGACTGATGAAGCCTGAGGTTCAAAAGGACAGTCAGGTTGTCCTTCAATTGTTCAGATTCCCTTACTGGAATAACATATTGGTTTCTTTAAAATGTGGGCTCTAAATTCCAAGTGCACAGTGGGTCAGAACACATTCATCTTAAATAGAAAATGTTTTTTTCTGTAACCTCCTTCTACAAAGCACTCATGTTCTATCCTTGTAATTTACAGGTTAAAAAAGCCCAACTGTAGCATTTCTTAACACTAGAATAATACGCTGAAGGACAAAAATCCACTATTACAAAAAGCACTCAAAGAAACACTAATGATACTGATTTTTTTTTTTTTTTTTACAAAAGAAATGACAACAAACTTCATCAGACTAAAAAACATCCATAATCTAAATCCTGCCTCTGGAATTATTACATTCAACTCATTAAGAGTTATTCTCTAACTTTTCAAAATTTTCTCCCCTCCCACACCATTATATTTTGTCCCAAAAATACGAAAACCAGCTTGAACTATCAGCCTGCCAATATTTATGTCCCATAAGTGATCTGTTCCCTCATTACATCACACGAAGTAATGAAAGACAGACCAGAATATGAGATTTCATACGGTCCAGCTACCTATCCCAAAGGCGTATCAGTTATGCCTCAAGAATTCCTAAAACTTCTATACTTCATTTGACTTCGGCAATCAATTTGAAAGCTGGTTATTCAATTTTATCTGTCACACAGATCACCTGAAAAGGCATCATCATTAAGGTCAAAATCTGCATGATATTTCATTAGTGTTCAAAGAAAATAAAAGAGAAAAATGGGAGGAAGTTTTTACATCAAATTATGCTACAAAAGTTAATTCTAACAAGTTTATGTTGAAACATTGGGCTGGAACATGTAATTTTAGAACTTAATACTAAATTAAATCAGCCTTGTAAGCCAAAGGAGCAATTCAACCTAATTAAAATGAATATATTGTTCTTCTAATATTTTGGGCGCCACATAAGTAACATTTCTCTCACTAGTGTCATTTTCCTACTTATGATTTTGGTTTTCTATTTAGCTTGAAAGCTACTAGCATGTACTAAGTTACTACTAAATGAAACCAAGCATCTTCCTTTTGAGTAGAGCAGTATGGAATTTTCAATACAAATTCACACTCTGACCTTGACACTGACTCCTTGAGAAGGAGGAGATTCATCCTCCATAGGGATTTGTGCTTGCGTCCCCCTGCAGAGAAAGAATTGTGGTTAAAATCACCATACCATATTGCTGCAGCAACATGGAACTATGCACACTTAATATAAAACCACAACTATGTGCTTCTGTGGGGTGAGAAAACAAGAAACATGAAGCTCAGTCAATTTTCGTTTCATATTCAACTGTATAGTGATCAGTTAGACAGACTCTGCTCTTCTGTATTCTTACCTAAACAAATAATTCTTGGAAAAAACATTTTTTGAAAACAAAGAGTAAAATTAATCAGACTGTGACTGGAAAGGAAGAAGTTTTATTAAACACAATACTCCAATGTCTTTTTATTGCAGCAAAAATAAATTTAGAACCTTGCTGATGTAATTTTCCATGACATTTCTTTCAGCAAAGAAAAAGTACACTGTTCTGGCTTAAGCCTTTAAATATTCCAGTTCCACTCTGAAAACCAATGCTAGAAAAATATTTAGGTCTTTTCAGGTTTACTGAGAATTGTTACAATATTCACTCTGATTCAGAAAATATTGCCAGCCCTGTAAATGACTTGTATAATTTCTATGACATGCATCATCAATAGAAACAGATTTTCAGATCAGAGGTTTCTTTCCCAAATAAATACATGCAACTCTACTAGCCTTGAATTATTTCTTAGCATAAAGCCATACAACTCCATTTTCAGTAAAACTGCAAAAATGAGTAAGGAGCTCTGAAGCTGTGCAAGTTTCTCCTGCTCAACAAGTGAGAAAGTTGTACACATTATTTTCTTTGAGGTACACTGGATCAGGCAATGTTAAAGATCTGTTTACTTTTCACTGAAAATTAAATATCTGTAAAATTCTGACTACAGGCAGAATAACATCCAACCAACAAGAAATTACCATTTGACTTAGTTACTTTTCAGAGGAATACCACATTTTAAAAGAAGCGTCAAACGTAGCTTTATAAAACTACCTGACTTACTAATAAACATGTCTCTTGCTTCGTGCCATAAGACCTAGGCCAGGACACAGAATACATGAAATTCATATGATTTAAATATTATAAATGTTAATGATTTAACAAATGTGATTTATTTTACTGAATAAACAAAAATTATTTTTATTCACTTGAACCAAATAAAGAACAATTGCTGCAGCTCAACTATACTGAATATGCACACTCTTAAGTTTATGCTTTAACAAAACCCACAAATCTACATGCACACAGTATATTTTATACACTTAATTCGAGACATTAAATGATAAATTCAGCTCATGTGAAAGTCCGGCTACGTTCTTGTCCACGTTGAGTGTGAGCTTAAGGCTCAAACACACAACCAAACTGAAATAACTTAAAGCTAAGTCATACTCCCTTTCAACTAGGAAAGACTGAAGAGCTGATTGAGTTGCCCACACATTAGCACCTACTGCTACTTGAGATGACCTTGGGGATGCCCAACACAAAACGGGGCTGGCAGATACAATTATACAGGATCTATAGGGTATCCATGCCATGCTGGAGCAGCAGCTAAGAACTAAACGGCACTAGAGTGTTATGCATGTGCAAGTGAACAGAGCCCCGAATAAGCACACACGGCCATTTACCAAGCTTTACAACTTAATGGATACAGGGTAACTTGTTAAACTCTTGCTGTTAAGTGATTTGTTATTTTCTTATTTTCTTCAACATACAAACTTGTTCAAACAACAAGAATGCAACCAGTTGATTTTGTGTACATTATTTCTATTTAAACAAGAAACAATTCACCTAATTCAGGCCTTTGGCATGACCATGGCCTGAGCAGGGCTGTATTACTGAACTGCAACTCTGAAACATTTAATTTCAATTATGTGAGTAGTCCTACCTGTGAAACCAAATACCAAGGCAATCCAATATTTTGCAGCATCAATTTCCAGCACTCCTTAGCAATGCTGATATGTTACCCGCTTCTCGGCCATCCATCTCAGCCTACACTCAGCCCAGAGGGCTGACATGTTCCCTAAGAGAATAACTATGAATTTTCTAATTGAAATAAATGCTGACTTCTGTATGTCCTTCCTCGAGCCATTTGGTACATAAATGACATTCATGATTCTTCAAGTTCTAATATTTCAATTCAGTTGCTTCTGTTTAGACAAAAGCATAGTTTGACTTTAAAAGCAGTTTATTTGTTAGTATAGAGAAAGATGCATTAGGATGGACCATTTCAGTTACCTAGCAAAAGGTTCTCCAGCCCGCTACTTCTTCAAAGTCCCACAAACATGCTGACGGTTTTGCACTGACTTTTCAAGAACAAAGATCCCTTACATGTCCTCACAAGTCAAAAGTTAACAGTGTTTTCTCTCACATATATTAAGAGAAAATTACCCTGCAACTCCATTCTTCAAGATGTTCTTCAAACACAGACACTTTATTTCTGAGCGGCCCTGTAGGAGTGCATGGGATGGCTCAAATTACACTAGTTTATTCTTTTATTCGAATTTGGGTATTCTAATAAAAGGACATACTTATTGCCACATGTCTGCATCTGCAAAGGTGTTCTTTCTAAAAACCTGTAATTGACTTAAGAGTACATATTCACCCTGGGACCCGGAAAATAAAGAAAAAAAAAATTATTATTAACCCTGTCTAAGAAACATTCTTATCTGTATACGTTGCCTACTTGCAGGAATTTTCCCTCCAGAAAAAACAACCATTGTATATACAAAGTGAAGCAAAGAAAACACAGTATTTTTATCAGAAATTAAAAGATAAAACCCTGTATATTTGAGTATTTCATGTACATAAGAAAAATATACCCTAGCTATTTCAGACAAGTTACTGGGGTTGTTCATCTACTAAATTTTACAATATGTGTATAATTGCTAAGAAATCGTACTTTAAAATAGCTACCCACTACATTTTTTTTTTAAAAAAATGCAATACTTACTTTAGTTAAGTACAAAGATAAGCAAGAAATATTTCTCATGTATTAAAAATTTATACACATTTTCACTAGCTGTGTTTCAAAAAAAAATCCTAAAGTGCAGATCTAAAGGACAAAATTTCATTGTTGTAAACATCCTTTTCTTGAGGAAGTTCAGAGCATTTTGATACAAAAATATTTATATTAAACTTTCACAAATCTCTTATCTGGGACCTGAGTACAGTTTAAGAATCTGGAAAGCATGCCCTGGCAGTCTGAGTTTAGGTCTTGGAATCTGAAATTTCTGACCCTGATTCCGGTCCATCCTTGATAAGTCTTTGTGTAAGGCACGTGTGTTTCTACAGTACAGGTAAGACCGAGTTAAAGAACACAAATACTAGTTCTAATAGCCAAGTTCTATTAGCAGTCTAAGACCATTTAATCGTAAATATTTAAACAGGTTCACTGACATATTTGAATGTAAATATTCTTGCAGATTCTCTCTAGAGAGAGTTGGCAAGCAAACAAAAATTTTCAGAACTGCACTTAGTATTGCCTCCCACTTAATTTCAGCATTTATGAATCTCCACTACTGAACCAAAGGTCTGTCTGGAGCTTCTTCCCCAAGGACTCTAACCACAGGCTTAGGAAAGATTAGGAGGAAAAAGTCACAGAAAAACGGGACTTGATATTCTCTGATATTCTTGATTTCTCTGATATTCTTGATTTCTCAGCAGTTTCCTACTGGAGTAGTCATGAAATGATGCCAACTTGTCCAAGCGATCTTGCAGGAGAGGACAAACCAGTAATCCTGTCGGCTGTTCCTACTGAACAGGTCACATTCCCCTTCTAGGACGATATGAGTCTACTTTCAAAATTAGCTTCCTTCTTCATGTAGAAACAGTGAAATGTCACTACTCCATCCAGCGCTGACAAAAAACTGACAGAACTCAGCTTCTTCCATTGATGCAGCATTTTCCATTACCAAGCAGACCTTGAGAAACAGTGACTGTTTGAAAACCTGCTATCTCCAACTAAAGCATAGTCTTCTCTTGTTCCCTTCTTGCTTCTTGACACCAGACCGTGACTTCTCAGCTCCTGATGCAAGCTCCACTGGCTGCCTACTAATTGCAAGAGCAAATCTACATGCAGTTTAGAGGCTAGATCCAAGAAACTTGAAAGACTGGAGTATTTACAGTCTGAAAGACTGACATCCTTGGCCTTGCAAGATAGGTAACTGCTACAGAAATTTCTAATTGAAATTATGTGAGATAAGCCAGCTTTACTGTCTCAATTTCCAAAGAAAAAACTTTAGCCAAAACCATCTTGTCAGACGTCACCTCTCTTTTGGCATGACATCCAGTTCCACCTGTCGGCTCCAGGGATGGACCTCCAGCATGACCCCACTGAAGTTACCAGAGGTTCATCTACACGCAGTATGCTGTACTGGATCTAGATGCTTGAAACCTATCCACAAAGGCCTTTTTTTCAGTAACATCATCACCCCCAAAAAGAAATTTGTTGCCAAGAGTGAAAGCAGTGAAGGATAAGATGCAAACAACACACAAAAGAAAACACGGGCACATGAAAAGCAAGGAAGATCGTGGGAGTACTGTTCCCAATAATACCTATAATACCCATGCTTAGCACCATCCTTCAATAAAGGTTCAGTACTGCTGCGATAAAGATCAAATACATGAGGGAAAAACGTTTTGAAAGAAGTGAGAAGACAGGAAAGGAAACAGAGGGCATGATTTTTCAATTCTCCAATAATTTAAAAAGAAGTGTTAGGGTCTGGTGCAAAATTTTTGCCCTAAGTGACAAAACTGCTTTGAAAAATCATATGTAGACTCCTGGGACACCTTCCCCTGGCCTCCAAGAAAACCTACGTTGGGGTTTTGGGCTAGCAAGACAATTTGACTAATTTTTATAAAATCATCTAGGACTTTTAAAAGTCCTATAGAATGGTAAGACACACTGCTTATATTAAGTTTCTTTATTTCTCCCACTCCTATTCCAATTACGTTTCTTCTTCCTCTTACAACTGCTGTCTATCATCATCACTGCATTGCTTACCAGGAAGAAACCAGAGTGGAAGTGACTGAAAAAATTGCATCATTACACCAAAGG